CGTCATTACATGGAACTGAGGGCCCACAACCGGATCTCCTGACCCACAACAGGGCGTCAAAAACGGGAGGAAGAAATTGGCTTCTCATAAATTCAAAACAAACCTGTCCAACTGAATATCTCGGAGTCACTGGTATAAAACCAAGATTGCAGCCATCCTAAAGAAAACCCAGAAGTTTTCAATAGCCCTTAAATTTGACTTGAAAATTTTTGGACCCTCATTGATCCACACCTATTAAGTAGGACATACCGCTTCATTACAACAGCATACGGTGTTATTATCGCGTATGAAACATCCAGTGCTTCTCTTGTTCTTCAATTGTTCCTGACTAGCGCAGAAAGCATCATCGTCGCAATGAAATTTGCCGTCAGTCTTGTTATGAAAACACCAACCCCAAATTTCGTGACCACGGCACCAGACCTTGAAAAAAGTTTTTTTCTCGCAGGGATCATGGCTTTATCGTATACTGAGAGTTGAAACAATTGTTCTGGACTTCCTAAACTTCTAGAGACTTCTAGACTTCTAGAAGCTCTGGAAGTCTTTTGGTTAACATCACTTATCATTAAAGACTTGTGAAGAAAAGAGGGTATGCAGCACTTCTTAAACAGGAAGAAAACTCTAAAAGTCGGACGCAAATACGATCCCCCTCGTCGCTATCCCTCCACCGACCAAGTACGACCCCTCATTGGAAATCCGCAACATCTCTCAAGAAAATAGGCAAGGTGCTTGCAGCGGTCAATGACTCAGGTTACCACGGTGTTGGGGTTAAACCCATTTTTGGATTTTGCCCATGCTGACCATGCGCCTCTTCAGTATTTTTTTTTCTGACGTCTCAAAATTATTTAGTACCAAGCTTGCCTAAGGCGATTGGCACTGGCTTTTATATCATCTGATCCCCGCAAGTCATTGTATGGGCCATATCGCATTCAAAAGTCACTACTACCGAATTGAAGTAAGAGGCGTGCGCCTACGCACAAGAAGGGTCTCGTGCACTGAATGGTGTTTCTTTAACTCCATCACCCTTCCAGTTAGACATACCTTCTGATCATCTGCGCAGTAGCGTCCAAATACCGTTGTGAATGTGGCGGCAAATAAAAACGTCAAAATCATAAGGGCCTGTAAATTTTATTCTCAAACAATTAAGGAAAAACGGCATTAGGAAGGATATGAATTCTCTGATAAAGAAAGAAATTACTGAATAGAGAAGACAATAATACAGTCTATATCTACGCGGTGTGGGAAAGGGGAGTGTCCCAAGTTTACACGTACGGAGGCTGAGCATTGTGAAGAGTTTGTCAAGTAGCACCTGCTGAGAGAGCCAGAAGGAATCTAACGTTTTTAATGTTTCTGGCCTCTACGATTCAATATCATGAAAACTGATGGGGTGCGTACCATCAAGGAGTGGAACGCAGCTCATGCTCATTTTCGTGGCCACTGTGATTGTCTATCACCTGAGCTTGGTCGCATATGGTAAAAACGCATGCGCTGGCGGCTCACCGCGTCTGCCGTGACACCTTCCATGTCACTGTAATGCGTCACGCATGCTCACTATCAATACCTCAGTCGCAATCAAACGCATCGTTGCCCACGCAACAGCATTCCGTGTGGATATGCCCCTTCTCGCGAGTGATATGAACTGTATGTACACACTCCCAACCTGTCACACTCCAAACTTATCGCCTCATAAAAGATCTGGGCACAGTTCGTCTTGGAAGGACATCAAAGAGTGTTCTAACGAAAGCTAGTGCAGCACTTGTAGAAATACTTATTAACTTCTGTGACAGATATATTCACTTGTACTAGCTGATACAACGGTCTCAAGGTTACGGTTGTTTTCACCAAATTGCAGACTTTTGAAGCGCCAAGAAATTGCATGCCTCATCACTAGCTCTAACTAGAACCCAGGAGAAGAATGTATCCATCTGTCCTATTTATTTACTTAATATACGTTATTATGCCATTAACAGAGCTGAGGCAGCTGTAAGACAACCAAATAGTGCGCTCGTCTAACCATCTCACATGGTTCAGGAGTCAAATCTTGAAACCAACCCTCGTGTCTTCTAATTAGCATGAGGCTTGTCAAAATAAAAAAAAAGCTGGCTTGCACATTGGCTGTCCCCTTCCCTGCACCCCCGAAAACCTTTATGTCCAGATCGCGTCCAGTTGCGCTACAATTTTAAGTAAAAGCAGAATGCGTGGCGCACATCAAAAACGTTCACGTTCACGTTTCTTCCTCTAGGAAAATGCCGAGATAACTGTTATGGTAACGGCTCTTGAGCTTAATATTTTTGCTCAGTCGTGATGTGACCGTCTTCCTCCCCGCTTACACCGCTGCTGCTATTCACGGAACTGCTTTTACTTCATTTTACAAACCTCAAAAATAAAAGAGGACTATATCTCAGAGACCACACAGAAAACAGCAAAACGAAAGGATAGAAGAGAACCACAACCACGAAAGAATTTGAAAAGATAGGGGAGAACTTCGTGCAGACTGAAGGAAGAAACAGACATCGGGCGGGCGGAGTGATCGCAGTTTGGCTTGGTGGGGGCACAATTTATTGATCAGTTGGAATTTCACTGGCCAACTTGCAAGAATTCATTCGAGCAAGTACCCATCTTGACATAAGTCCACTGGTTTGAGCAAAGTGATACCTGCCAGTTAACATGAATTGATAGAGGGAAGCTAATGTAGAGAATGCCCCCCCCCTCCTTATCCTCTTTGAATTGGGTCGAGAAACTATCGCAAGCTTTCGAAATGAAAATTCAATCCCTTTACAACAGTGCTCGACTCATTCACTCAGTTGGTCTCGCTGCTAGACCTCTCCAATCACTTCTCCGACTCTTTAAGAAGGAGGAGTGTATGGCGTAAACCACTTGTGTCATAGCTAAGCGATAAAATAGGTTGGTACTCGCTAGGAATGTAACTGTCTTGGAAACGTCTTTCGAAAGAGGAGCAGACGCGACTCCATTGCATTAGGGTCACAACAATGGTAGACGAGGGGAATCGCTTTGTGGGTGTAGGGAGGGGCATTAGCGTTGCATTGGAACTACTCGTCTATGCATTCTCAATTCGACCAAGTGTCTTATTGTTGCTTCCAAGTATCTAATATGATAGCCTAGTAAAGAAGAGCATGCCAAACAGGATGGAAGAGGACCTATAAGAACAGAAAAAGTCTCATAAAATGCCCCTTGAGATCTTTTTGACCAATAGTAGAAAAGGACCAAATGGGCGGGTCGATGAATTTATTTCGGAATGCGTCACGCATTGACCATTTACTCAGAATCTGTAGATGTGTTTAGGGTCGCTAGTTGATGAGATTTCAAGTTATACTAATAATTCTTTAATGTCGTGAAGACGGGAAAAAGTCATGCTGATTTCGTGGGCGAGACGTACAAAGCACTTGGTACTCCTCACTGGCTACCTCTCTTCTTATGCTGGGTCAGAAAGGGAAGTGGACGCCCATGAGAAAAGAGCAAAAGGAGACCGTTCCTCTATGTCTCAAGCTACGTGATTAACATAATCTATGCCTCGGCTTTTTTAAAGACACGTTCACCGGCTCAAGTGGTAGCGTGTAAGTCCAGAAAATAAAGATTGTGAAGTTCTAAGTTGATTCACCAGCTGAAAAAAAAAAAGAAGAGAAGACAACATTGAAACGGTTTACAACAGCGCCCTGAAGTGCATTTTCAGTGAGCTGGTGTAAGTAGAGCGTCAAAAAGAGAGGCGAGCCAGAGCACATCGTTGTTGGGGAATCCCAATAGGGGGGGGGGGTTCGTATTTTGGCCGCCAGGAGAAACGGTGGTCGTATTTGGCGCTTACAGGAGAAATCCATTCGCAACCAAGGCACGTCTCGCTGTTTATTTTTGCCAAAAACACCTCAGCCCCTTGGCAACCAATACGACTCCGGCTTGGGGACTTGTCACGCGAGCTGCACATTTTCAGTTCCGTTCAGACGACCTTGTAGGCATTTTTCTAGTGGCGGCTGGTAGACCCTGTGTCTAGAATACAATCATGCCCTGCCAAGGATAGGGCATGTATCGGGGGCGTGAAGTACAGTCGTGACAATCGTGGACTGTGTCTTTAGGTCATCATAATTCATGGTGCGTTGATATATACCAGACAACAATAACAACAGCTTTTGGATCGATTATGCAATGTGTGGGAGGGTGCATTTCATGCTTGGCTCATCTTTTCAGTAATATCTATTTGTTAGAATCATTGCATTTTTCTTCTACTTTCCGAATTCTTCTCTTGACGTTGCCTGCTAACCATCATTGAGATGTCATACACGGCTCTTTGCCCCATTGTTTTGGAAGGCACGGTTCTTTCAATTGGTGGGTCAATAAGTCGTTTGACAGTAGAATTTTTTGAAATTCAGGCAATATTTTTGAAATCAGACGCACATTATGGGGTCAAAACATGAAAGCAGTTTTTCTCTTGTCATCTTCAAGCTTTATCGTTTTTTATGAATCACCGTATGCCGTTGATCTACCCGTGTTCGATGCTGTCGGCCTCATTTGTTCGACTCGCCTCACCTCTTACGCCTCGCGCCCTCCAACTACCCACACTTTTCTGTTAAGTTGACCAGTCCCCCAGCTTTCGAAATGTCACCGCTGACTGCTAACCCAGTCCAATGCATGTCGACCGCCTTTCGTTCTAGTCGAGGACCCTGCCTATTGTCGTCTACGCTCTCTTGACTGCCTACATTCTCATTATTTTCCAGGTCCCTCACTTTACGAAGACACACACCGTTGATCTACCTGTCATGGCCGCCGACCCTTGCTTTGTCCACTGCTCGGCTCATACCTATCAGAAGGCTCTCACGGAGGACACCAATGGTAAGAGAAGAAGCAAAGGTTTCCCCATAAAATGTGTACAAATGCGCGAAGAAAGCGACACTTCCAGCAGGTAGAAAAAACGATCCCCATCTACGAGCGTGTTCTGGAACAATGAGCTTGAGCAAAAGGTAAGGTGTAACGTATTTGGGGGGGGGCGACACGCGCTCGCGATGACTCAATTGCTATTCTGCTCCTCTACCGGCGAAAATAGCAGTAATCATCGCTTCAAAGCATCAATATAACACTCCCTAAGAGTGTATATTCAACAAGCGTAAACAGTGAACGTGAAAAATGCGTGTGGGTATTTAACTGTATGGAGGTTCTTGCCTAATTTTACAACAAAGAATTAGTTCTAGTGTGAACCACTTTCGACTGTGTCAAAAAAGTAAAAATGACACTAATAAAATAAGTTGGATAAGAATCCAAAGAGAGACCTTCCCCAGTAGCTCACGGGGAAATCGGAGAAATGAATATTGAACGGTTTCCACACAATTCCTACTATATTGATATCGCTAAGGTTTGTCTGTTGGTGTGGTGATGTGTCGTGTTTTGACCGGAAATTCATAACTTCCTTCAAAAGAGTGATAGAGCGCTCAAACTGATAAGTCATGTAGGGGGTCGTGCAGGAACACTATTGGTGGGTGGCAGGAACTGATAAGAGCTGATAAGATACCGCGAGCAGCCTTATAAGGGGAGGATCACCAATTCATAGCGCGGGCCACAGCAACGATGAGACCTTGGTTCCAGGAAGTAAGGTAGGGGGCAGGATGGGAACATTATTGGTGGGTGGCAGGAATTGATAACAGCTGATAAGATACCATAAGGAGCCTCAGAAAGAGTGGGTTACCTAATTCCATAAACAACCGGCCAGAAGCAGCGAGCCGGGACGTGGATAGAAGTGTAGGATAGGAGCAGCGATTGGGAACTTATAATGGTGGGTGCAGGAATTGAAACAGCTTGATAAGATACCATAAGGAGCCTCAAGGTAGAGGGACACCTAACTCTTACGAACGACCAGCACAACGGGACGTCGGTTCCAAGAGGCAAGATAGTGTGCAGAATGGAACCATTATTGGTTTGTGGCAGGATATGATAAGAGCTGATAAGATACCCCGAAAATTCACAGCAGAGTGTTGCAACACTGTGGAACTGCTCCAGCAAGTAATTCAAGGGTGCTCAACGGAACATTAAAGGTGGGAGATAAATTCTGTCAGTGTCCGACAACGGCTTTTGGGACATCCGCGTATGGGCTCACATCATCCTGGCCAACCTAGCAATATCCCTCAGTTTAGCGGTCGGAATTGCTTCCACCGCTAAACGCTCGAGTTTCACCGGAAGGGAAATTGTTGGCCAGTGAGGAATGATAAGAGCCACTATGATTTCGACTTTTTTATTATCGAGATTCTTCCCACCGCTGTCCTATCCCCAACGAATGGTGCTTTTAGAAATATGATAGGCACCAAACACTGGCAAATGTTCATTAAAATGGGGAAACATGATGAAATTGGTCGTCCTCGAAACATGAAAACATGGAATTAGGCTAAGTGTTAGTGCTCAGGACAAATCCTGTCAGTTATCGTAGTACCATGGGTTTAACCATGCGCGCAGTAGTGCGCGTCAGCCAGACTGGTCAGTATCACAAGGCATTTCACCCATCAATTCACTTCACCTGTCCACTCGCGTCCATGTTGTTTTCAGCCCTTCTGTAGAGATTCTTAAACAGTTTTCAGTGAATTCTTGTTTTGTTTTATTCTAAGTTGGCTGCAGATTCGCCGCTTCAAGCGTTTCAAAGTGTGCCGAATGACGTTGAAGAGCGATGAGCCATCGCTCGCGCGAGTCGCTTTGATCCCTCCTTCAAATACAGTTCAGCACCCGAAAGTATTGGATTTTTACGAAAAGTTTAATTTGTTTCTAATTTTCCGATCGGTAGAACCTGTTCTTGAATGGCTCGTACAGAGCGGTTTCATTCAGAGTCAAAAGCGGTATGTGATTAAACTATCCGCTATTAACTTTGGTGCAAAGACAACGCTGTGTAGCAGCTTGACAAATGCTTTGGGGTATTCTATACCATAAGCTGCCAGCGATCAGAAATCCCGCTCATTCAGGGGCCGAATTATACTTCTTACTAGCCATTTAGTCGCACGTTTGCGACCGTTCACGCTCCGCCGCTAGTCGTGAACCACTACAACCGTTAGAAGAACTTCTATCTTAAGTCCTCCCTAGCTTTCATCTTTTCTTGTTTGGCATAGCAGTTCTAACACTTAAAGGACAAATCTTCCGCGATCAGAGTGTGAGAGGTAAGTGGTGCTCCAGTGGTGAACCAGTGGCCCATAGTAGCTCAGTAGAGAAGAAGCAAAAACCTGCGAGTAGACCCCAAACAAAGACCTACCTCAAGCAGTCGGCGGCGTCTTGGACGGGGTATGTCGCGACGTGGAGGACGCATCTCCCATAAGCGACTACCCAGCCGCAAAGCTTGAGCTGGGACCAGGCGCGATTCCTGGCAGCGATGCTGTATTCTAGTTATGCGGAAGGTGAAGGCCTGGAAAACGAAATTTTCAGCCTTTTTTAAAAAGCTCGACAGTAAAACTGGTCTGATGTCGGAAGACAAGGGGTAGCGACAATTGGATAGTGCCCCCATCTAATGAAATCATTAGGGAAAACACGGTAACTGCTCTTCATTTCAATCCTCCTCTTGCGACGAGTATGGAAGACGAACTACCTGCTCTTCAGTTCACGTCCTTCCCATCGCTTGCAGAGTACGAAACTCAGGAAAGGCTTGCTGCTCTTTTGTTCACAGCCTCCTAAAACTGGGAATGCGCTTGTAAAGAACTTGCGGAGCCCTAAAATAGCCTGAGTCGTCTTCATTTTATGTCCAACGGTGCGAAGTTTGCGCTCAATCGCTATGGAAAGCGCGGATCACCGAAGATGGCAAAGTGCCAGAAGCGCCGCGCACGACACGTGCCGCGCGGGTGTTGTAGCGAATAGGAGCTGTCTCGCTAGCCGTCGTCTTGTACACATTACAGGTATGAATCGCGCCAGTTTTTGCCCGTACACGTGTCTGTTAAGACTGTCTTTATCGCAGCCGTTTGAGGGGGAGCCGAAAAGGTGGTACATATCTTGTGAAACGCATATAACAATTCCAAAGGACGGAGTTTATCTTGCAGCGCCACTTGGATCGCGGGAAGTACGTCTGATTACCCAAGAAGATTATTCGAGTCATGCGATTCCCAAACGAGCAAAGACGCCCATTCGCACTGACTTAATTGTGCTGCTCACGATTTTCCACACTAAGTTGTTTTTGGAAGAGTACTTCATTTAGACAAGTGAGATTGTTGCTAATAGTAAAAATCAGTATGGTCGAAGCTGCAACAATAAAAAAGTGTCCTTCACCTTTACGTTAATGTGTTAGTTGCGTAGACTCCTCTAGGCCACTCGCGGATTAGAGTAGCAGCTCGTGGGCAGGGATAACACAATCGGTCTGTGTACTGTGATAATTTTTATTTTTTTTGGCTTTAATCTTTATTCCTTGCTTCTTTTCTAAGTGGGCGTAGTGAGTTGCAAGAATATTCCAGAGCGTTCACTGATAGCCTGATTTTTCACCGCTTCGTTATGTCACGGGGTTACGGCCCATCGGCTAGATGGTGACTGTAGGAGGCGGGGCGGGAACGTTCTCGAAGATTCCCTTCCGAAGGTATATAAGCAGCTTCGACGCTACCAGCACTTCCACAGAAAGCAAGCTACGATGGCAGGCTTTAATGACCCTTACACTGACTTCCCAAGTCTTTTCGACTACGATTCTGAAGAATTTGACGATGTGATCAGCGCCTTCAGCGAGATCGACCTGCTTGGGCAACCAGCTTGCTCTCTTTCGAGTACAATGGAGGAATGTATTGCCCTCACGGGTCAGTTGGACACGGTATGTGAATATTATGGAAGTATTATACTCCGGCAGCACGTTAAGCTCCCGGGCCTCACATTCTGCTGTAAGGGACTGCTTCGACCCTTCATCATCCCACCAACCTGTTTCCTAGGATCTCGCAACTTTTTTCCATCCCGCTTTTCCGTGGTTATGTGGCATGACAATCGTGGTATGCCGCTTTGCTGGGCGTGGCGAGCGACTTCGCGCCTGATGGACGAGTTGTCTTACCTCATTGTTTAAATTCAGCGTTAAGAGGCAGGAAAAGTCGATAAAGGAGAAAGTCGCCCGTCATGGAATTTTGTCTCCGTTTGGACTCGTATGAGTTCTAGTTCTCTAATCGGTAAATTGATGCAGGTTGCGGTTTCGCCGCGCGCGACGACGCGAAAAGTTGCGGTTGTCTTGCGTTGTCTTGTCCGTCTCCGCTTTCCTGTTCCCAGAGTTTTTCCAAGAATTCCTCACTCTTCCTACAAGAAACTCCCAGTGAGTGAGTCGTGAGGTGGGGGGAGGGGGGTTGGGGGATTCCCAACATACGACGTGCCCTGTCTATCTCACCCCTAATCACGAACCTTTTCAGGTTAGAGATGACTGGTCAAAGTTATCGATGGCTTTGAACGTTTTGGGGTTCCAACAGGATGAGCTGAAAGTAAGCCTCGTTGGTCAATCTCTAAGTATTGAAGGCAAACAAGAAATCAAAGAAGGCTCGAGCTTCACGTCCAGGTAGGTCTTATGGTCCCAAGGTCCTTTGAAGACCCCGTCACACTGAACAGGTCTGAGTTCCATCCGTTGCAGGTCATTCCTTCATCGATGGATTCTTCCAGAAAATGTCGATCTCGAGCAAATTCGAGCCACTTTTACCGTCGATGGTCAGCTAACTATTGAGGCCCCAAAGAAATCTTATTGAAAACGAAAATTAATTAATTACGCTGAAAAAATGCATAAATGGGAAGTATTGAGGGGGTCGGAACCCAAGAGA